TAAAGAACTGTTTTGCATGTTTTTAAACTTTACATAGAAATCATTCTGAATACATTCCTCTGTAATTTGCTTATATCCCTCATCAATGTTTTCGAAATTTATTCATATTGATGTATATAGCTCCACTTCATTGATTTTAACTGTTGTATCATTAATATTCTAGTGGATGAATATGCCACAATTTATTCATTTTCCTATGAATTGCCATGTAAATTGGTTCTAATATCTTGTTGTTAAAATCATGCAATAACATGCAATAACCATTCTATTCCTATTCCCTTGTGTGCATGAGGAGGAATTTCCATAGGGTATATAACTAGAAATAAAATCATTGAAACAAAGGGTGCAAATTACCTGGATATTACCAAATGGCTCTTCAAAGTGGTTGTATTAATTTACACTCCTACCAGGAATATGTGTAATGTACTCTTCTTCTTGTTTTTTTGTTTGTTTGTTTGTTTGTTTGTTTGTTTCCAGCTTCAAAAATCTTTTAATAACAAGGTAGGATCTGGGGTAGTTTTTGCAGCCATAGTGGCCCATCAGCCTCTGTGTGCTGGAACTCCTGCCCTTGAAGCATATGTAAGGTTTGGTGTGGCTATGAGGGGCTCCTGGGGCCTTGCCAAAATACCTGGACACCTCTTGGCCCTTGAGAGGACCAGAGAGCAGAATGATGCCACAGCCCTTGAGGGAGTCCAGGGCAGGTTGGTCAAACTTGAGGATCTTCCCCTCAACCTTATGGATACAGCTCTGGGTATTGCTTCTCACACAAAGTGCAGACACCCTCAGTTTGAGCACCTCCTGCACACACAAGTCATCAGTTATAATCCCTACAACCACAGTGATTTTGCCCTCCCAGCTAGGAAGCTTCATTTCCAGATTATTCAGGAAAGGAACAGAGGTGGCCGGTTGATGCAAATTAAGAACAAACTTTTCAATACCACGTGGTTGAAGGTAGAGTTGGTTCATCTGGCCATAAACCTGTATAGTTTGACCAATAGCCTTAGGTAGTCATCCTGGCTGTTGGGCTCCTTGCACTGAGCCTTTCAGTCAGAAAGTGTAAAGAAATAATACATGCCAACATTCATGCATGTATCAGATGTATATGGTGAGCATGTCATGTGTGTGCATTAGGGCTCAGAAGACCCAAGCCTGGATATTCCCACCTGGTTCTCTTTCCCTCTTTTATTTGTCCCAATCTAATTCCTCTCACCTTCCTGTCCTTCCAGTGATGGCGAACCTTTTGAGCTCGGCGTGTCAGCATTTCGAAAAACCCTAACTTAACTCTGGTGCCGTGTCACATATAGAAATTTTTTGATATTTGCAACCATAGTAAAACAAAGACTTATATTTTTGATATTTAAATGCCATTTAACAAAGAAAAATCAACCAAAAAAATGAGTTTGCGTGTCACCTCTGACATGCGTGTCATAGGTTCGCCATCACTGTTCTAGGCCCTGCTCAAGTCCCTAAGAAGGCTTTCCTTATCACAAGGTTCTTCACATCTCTCCTGTCTATGACCTCCCAAGATAGCCCTTCACATATTCTCATCACCAGAGGAATATGTAGTGTTTCAGTGGTCCATGCTCTGGCTCCGCATCATATGATCTGCTCCTCAAAGGCAGGAACTATCCTGAGGATTTATTAGCATCTCCCAGAATCCAGTGCCACATTCATAATGGGCTCTTGATGAGGTTGGTGAATTGTTAATGGAGTGAATGCAGTTTCCTTTCCTCCCATAGAGTGATATTCCTGGAATGATTTCCTAGAAACAGCTATCCTCCCTCACTTGGGTAATATCCAGTTAATATGCAGATCCACTCACCCATTGCTCCAATAATTTCATTCCCCTGTATATACTCTAAAGAAATGTCCTCCTACATACTCCCACTTTTCTTTTATATTCCTCCTCTTCATAAATTTTCAATGATATCCACAAACAGTTTAATTCTCTTAAAGCCACTATCAGTGATGAGACTATTTTTTGAAAACCATAGCTACATATAGGTCAGCATATACAGGCTCACAGTTCATCTTTGCTCAACTTAGAAGAAATCTATCCTGAGAGTTTTCAGTATGTTCAGTTAACAAAGCACATTCTATTCTCACTCCTGGGTTGCTGAGAAGTCTGGATTCTCTTGTTCTTTATTTCTAGCTATCTTCTTGTCTCCTCCTCCCATGCCCTGAGCAAAATACTCTTTTTGCCATATTAATCCCAAAACTTATTGTGTTTACTTCAACAGACTATCAAATATTCAGTTTTATTTTCTTACTAGAGGCCCGGTGCACAAAATTCATGCACGAGGGGGGGGGGGGTGTCCTTCAGCCCAGCCTGTACCTTCTCCAATCTGGGACCCCTCGGGGGATGTCCAACTGCCGGTTTAGGCCCCATCCCTGTGGTCAGGCCTAAATGGGCAGTCGGACATCCCTCTCACAATCCAGGACTGCTGGCTCCCAACCACTTGCCTGCGTGCCTGCCTGATTTCCCCTAACCGCTTCTGCCTGCCAGCCTGATCACCCCCTAACCACTCCCCTGCCAGCCTGATCGACACCTAACTGCTCCCCTGCCAGCCCAATCGCCCCTAACTGCCCTCCCCTGCCGGCCTGGTCCCTCCCAACTGCCCTCCCCTGCTGGCCAAATCACCCACAACTGCCCTCCCCTGCGGACCATCTTGTGGCGGCCATCTTGTGATCACATGGGGGCAGCCATCTTGTGCAAGGGTGTGATGGTCAATCTGCACATTACCTCTTTATTATATAGGATTAGGTTTTACTGAACCTTCTTACATTTTGACAGCAGCATGGTATAGTAAAAAGAAAACAGGCTTTGGAGACCATAAGACTGGGTTTGAACCTCTGCTGTATCACTTTACTGTGTTACATTAGGCAAGTTACTATAACTCCACAATTTGTCAGGTGTAGAAATCAGCCCTTTCTCTTATGGTTGCCAAGTTAAGTTTCTACAGCATATTTCTGGCCACAAAAATATCACCAAACTTCAAAATAAAAAGAATTAAGCAGGATAACATAGATTAAGTGTGTTTATTATTGTGTCCTGCATAGAGTAGGTGCTTGGTAACGATTAGTGTCATCCCTCTTTTATTCTCCTCCCACTCCCTGAATTACTGTCAGGTACTTTTTCTTAAGTAGAGATGCAATAGAAAGTCACCTGTGTGACCAAAAGACCTCCACCACAGCCCTCAAAAAAATTAATATCTTCTTGTCAGCATTCTAGGAATTTTACCTCCTCCAATTAATTATTTTGTACTCCTAATTGACAGGTATTGTAATTGTAGGTCCCTTCTCTACTGCAAGGGAGGTTTTGGCACTTTGTCCCAGAACAGAGAAAAGACAATCTTACCAGTTGAGCTAAGGGACCTAGTGAGTATTTGATGTCTCCTAAAAAGAAAGAAATGTTTCTCTTTGACAAATATATATTATACTGGGAGAGGAAGAAACTTTCCTCTACCCTCAAGATTCTTTTAGCTGGTCTAATAATCAAATTTAATACCTACATACGTATAGGAACCCCATATACATGAGAGAGTCAGAGACCCCACATGTATGACAAATTTAGAGACAGAAAGGGAACATGGGTATATTTGACATTCTGAGCTAGGGATGAAGTAAATTGCCTTGAGGGCTGCAAAGGATCATTGCAGGATGAGCAGAAGAGCAGATATTTAGTAAATAGAAGTTTTCCCTGCCCTATAGGTAGGTCAAAAGAGGTTATCTCTGATGGTCTCTTATTATTGGCCCCTAATTCAAATTCTTGGCAGTTAAGGGATGAGCAGAAGTTTCTCTTGAGCCCAGAGCTAAAGTTGCCTCTGGCTCAAAACAATCCGCATACCACAGAGGCACATCTTGAGGTGACTCATTCTAAACCCCCACTACACACACACACACACACACACACACACACACACACTGTACGTTTTTACTTAATGTTGTCAATAAGGTCTTGGAAATTATGACTTTAAAAGAAATGATGTACAACAAAACCAATTTATCACAAGCTAATTGATATAAACAAGAGTTAAGTTCTACGGCCACAAAAACATCACCAAACTTCTAAATAAAGAGCCCAAACACTTCTAAATTAAACACTAAAATAAATGTGAGCTATACGATAATATATGTTAAAAAGGTGAATAAAAACAAGTAAGATCATTATTTTACAACCAACTTATTCCAGTTTAGGGGACAAGGCGGGAACCAGCCCTACATGGGACACTCTTCCATTGTAGAGTGCACTCATACCTCACCCCAGGCTCACTCGTACTGGGATGATTTAGATTTACCTAATGTGTGCATCTCTGGGATGTGGGAGGAAACCAGAGTACTGGGAGAACACCCATGCAAACATGGGGAGAATGTGCCAGTTGAGTAACACAGAGAGTGGTTCCTCTGGGAAATGACTTTTTTTTAAATCACCAACATTATAACAAAATGATGTTGAATAAAAAGAGTTATTCAAGGACCTGCTATATATATATTATATTTATATTATTATCCAATAAAATACCTATCTATCTATCTATCTCTCTCTCTATTATCTCCTTACACTGGTGTACCTGGTACACACACAGTCTTAGTTTATTTGGGCTGGTATAACAGAACATCATAAACTGGGTAGTTTAAACAACAGAAGTTTATTTCTTATAGTTTGGAGGCTTGGAATTCCAAGATCAAGGCATTGGCAGGATTTGGTGTCTGGTGAGGAATCAGTTCCTGTTTTATAAACCACCATCTTTTTGCTGTGTCCTCACACCGTGAAAAGGGGAAGGCAGTTCTCTGGGATCTTTATAATCCGAACCCTCATAACCTTACATTTGGGAAGAAAACAGTTGGGAGAAAAGGTTGAAAGGAGATATGTTTTCACAAGAAGGCATGTTTAGTGATGTCAATGTCTCTTTACTTAAGAAGCCTTTCTTGATTGAACTTATTCCCATTAGCTGATTTCACCCTTTCACAAAGCACCTATGCACTTTTATAGAATTTTTAATATTCACTCGCTTTCATATGCTTATGTCATATTATAAGTTCCTTAAAATCCAAAGCATGCCTGATTGCATTTTGCAGCATCCAGCTCAGTTCCTTGCCTTCTGGCCAGGTTTGGGGAAAGCCAGCTGAAGATCCAAGAAGACCAAGGGGTGTGGTGAAGAGAGCCCCCAAATGGGGTCACACGATCACCCCCCCTTTCTGTGTGACCATGTCCACCTCTACCCTCTTTGCCACTTCCACAAGCTATGTAACCATGAGCAAGTTGCTGAATTTCCTTAGACCTCAACTTAGACCAGTGGTTCTCAACCTGCCTAATGCCGCGACCCTTTGATACAGTTCCTCATGTTGTGGTGACCCCCAATCATAAAATTATTTTCGTTGCTACTTCATAACTGTAATTTTGCTACTGTTATGAATCATAATGTAAATATCTGATATGCAGGATGTATTTTCATTGTTACAAATTCAACATAATTAAAGCATAGTGATTAATCACAAAAACAATATGTAGTTATATATGTGTTTTCCGATGGTCTTAGGCGACCCCTGTGAAAGGGTTGTTCGACCCCCAAAGGGGTCCCGACCCACAGGTTGAGAACCGCTGACTTAGACCATTGTAAAAGGGCGATAATAAAGTTTTAGTGCAAGGCAGTGGTCTCAACCTTAGCTGCACAATGGAATCACCTAGAGAACTTTAAACATATTGATAACTATGTTCCACCGCTCAGAGCTTCTAAATTCATCAGTGGGGCTGTTGCCAGGGTATAGGGAGTTTTTAAACTCCCTAGGTCCGTGGTCGGCAAACTGTGGCTCGAGAGCCACATGTGGCTCTTTGGCCCCTTGAGTGTGGCTCTTCCTAAGCCTTAGGAGTACCCTAATTAAGTTAATAACAATGTACCTACCTATATAGTTTAAGTTTAAAAAATTTGGCTCTCAAAAGAAATTTCAATCGTTGTACTGTTGATATTTGGCTCTGTTGACTAATGAGTTTGCCGACCACTGCCCTAGGTGATTGTAATGTATAAATGAGGTCAAGAACCAGCGCTCTAAGAGTCTTACAAAAATGAAATAAAACAAAGAAAAACAGTACCTGACAAGTAGTAAGGCAAAAGTCATTTGTTTCCTTTTTTTCTCTCCAATTGGTTTTCCTATTTGTGTTGGTGGTTGCTGGATCCTGGCTGGAAGCTAAGGGATAGAGGGAGAATTTTGTTCAATGATTGGTTTTATTTTTTTTTAACTTTTTATTTTGAAACTAGAGGCCTGATGCACGAAATTCATGCAAGAATAGGCCTTCCTTCCCCCAGCTGCCGGCACCAGCTTCCCTCTGGCACCCGGGGCCCGGGCTTCCCTCCTAACCCCGGCTTCATCCGGAAGGTCAGAAGGTCGTCTGGTCTAATTAGCATATTATGCTTTTATTATTATAGGTCATTTTAAACTTACAAAAAAGTTGTGAGAATAATACAAAGAATTCCTATACACCCTTCATCCAGATTCATCAATCATTAACAATTAACTACATTTGCTCTATCACTCCTCCATATTCTCTATACACATATAATTTTTTTCTGAATTAGTTGAGAGATAGTTGCAGAAAACGTGTAACCAATCCATGTTTCTCTCCCCCTCTCTCCCTTCCTCTCTCTCTAAAAATCAATAAAAACATATCCTCAGGTGAGGATTAAAAAGAAAAAGAAAAAAAAAGACAGATTGAAGCCATCAATCATAGTTACTAAAAATGCCTGACTCTAAAAGCAATACTACTGTGGAAAACAAAGTTGCATTTGCTAGAATATAATTTGGAATCCCTTTAATACTCACTGTCTTCCCTAAATATTTACCTCATTTATCAAAAACCATTCACAACTGTAGTATTTAATTTAGAATAAACTGCATATACTAGATAGCCTATTGCTATAAATATTTG